TGTCTTTTTTGTTTCTTTGTCGGTTTTTATTCACAAGACTTAGTTTGCTCTTAAATTTCATAACTTATAAGGAAATAAGCTACATTGAAATAAATTAAACACAATAGAGAAGATCGTGCTTTTCCCTCCCCCCCATCTCTTTTTAAACATGGCTTGGTAGAATAGGCAAACCAAATCGACAGAAAGCCAGGCAAAAAATATACTTAAAAAATCGTCCCCCAGTGCCTGCCACTCAGCCATCAGAAATAAAATCAAACAATAAAAAAGGCATGAAATGAAACTCTTAGTTTTCTTTCGTTTTTGTTCTCTCGTCTTTTTACCTTTCGCCCCCGATAAGAAACAAAACCCAAAAGATGGCTAAAGGCGCGCTGCGGGTTTCGCTGGGGATGGCTCTGCCGGCGAGGGGGGACACGGGCAAATCGCTGCTGGATCCGGCGCCGACACCATACCGCATCTGTGGTCCCCATCGCAGCCAAGACAGCACGAGTATGTACAAAGTGGGGGCAGCGTAATAATAAATATCTGTGTGTCTCTTCCAGGGTTTGATATTCCTGCTCCGAACCAAAACAGTTTCCAAGCCTCTTGCCTTCGCCGACTCTCGCTTGACTCGGTAAGTGGAAAGTTTCGCTTTAAAGTTCGCTCGTGGCGGGGATTTGCTGTGCGCTCGCGTGGGATTTTTTTCTTGTTGGCTGTTGTTTTCTTTAGGGGTTTTTTTGCTTTTTTTTTTTTTCGGGTGAGTTGCTTTTAAACCCCGATTTGGAAACTTTTCCCTCAAAAACTTGTGGTTCTGAGCGTAGGGAGAGATCAGGGTCGGGCTTGCTCCAGCTGCTGATGCTGACTCCTGATCGCAAACCTGCTGACGTGCACCGGGATGGGTACCACGATCTTAGGGTTTCGGGAGGGTTCCCCTGTCTTGGAGTTGGCGTTGCCCGCCTTGACCCGTTTCCATTTCGCCCGTCTGTTCTGGAACCAGATTTTCACCTGCACCTCGCTGAGTTTGAGGGCGTGAGCGATCTGGGACCTCTCCGTCAGGGACAGGTACTTTTTGCAGTGAAACTCCTTTTCCAGCTCCAGCAGCTGCTCGCTGGTGAAGGCTGTTCGCCTCCGCCGGTTTTTGCCTGTGGACGTGGTGTTGGTGGAATTGGGGGGGTTTTGGGGGTTTTCCTCCAGCGCGTTGCCAGAGTCCTCTTCCTTGTGAGCCGCCTGGCCGGGGATGTTGTCGTCCGAGCTATAGTCTAGATCGCTGTCCATGGAGAAACTTTCCTCCTTGCCTTTCACGTCCTCTTCTGCTTTGGGGTCCTCCTTCCCCTGGCCCCGGAGAGCCCCGGCTGGAAGCAAAGCAGAGGCCTTTCATTACCATTTGGCACCCTCCGGCCCGCGGCCACCGCGCCCCCCGGCCCGCAGGTCCATCCCACGAAAATTGTTGGGTTTGTTTTTTTCTTTTTCTCTTTTTTTTTTTTTCCGCGTGTCTTTCGGTTGGACTGATTTTATTCTTATTTTTCCAAGCGGCGGAGGCTGGAAACCTTCCTTCTCCTCCTCCCCTCTCCGCGGCCTTGCGGCCACCGGACCCCCGGGGCCAGCCCTGCCTCCTGCCGGGGGGCCCGCGTCCCCGGGGCCGCCCCCTCCCCCCGCC